GTTTCGACTAGCAAATGTTTCACACAATGCGTTGATGCTCGCTGTCAGAAGGAGGAAACAAGAATATCTTATTAAGAACTTAAACCGGTAATCTTCCAACAAGATCTCTTTCATCAGAAAACTATGTACGAAAATGGGTAGTTGCGAGGTTCAAAAAAAACATGAGTGGACCGAAACAAATGTAAATAAACTGTTGTGCATTTAATTCGTTTTTTCACATGACAACAGTTCGTTCAGAACATTTTCTCCAGTTCTGAGAACAAACGTTAAATTCTACTCTCATTTACAATGTACCTAATAAAACTGAAATTTAAAAATTTTACTCACACATTGACATCCCTCTCCATGGCATATATCCAATATAATAAAACATATCCTAATTACAGACGGCGAAGACTCGCCAATGAACCTTGTCTTAAGCATCTCGCTCCGCAATGGCAGATTCCAGGAATCTTTAAAAACAAAAAGTGTTTTTTACACTGAAATTTAGTTGAAAATGCAAAAAGTCTATTAAAGGATAGGATTAACGTTTCTCATGACGCTCGATCCGTCCGTTGGATGAAACACAATAATACTTGCAACATTTTGCTTCATATCATGTTTCTCTGAGAATACGAACAGAGCACGTTCTGAATCGTTGGGGAACACGTATATAACAAATTCGATATATGGTTTCATCCTATAAACAACTTATCAGATTTACATTATAGGATGTAACTGCACTTTATTCATCGATGCTCCTTACTCGGGTTCTACTAAACGATCCTTTTGTTTATGATGCCAGTCGATAATTGTTTCAATTAATTAACCTGAAAACTTTTGCTGTTAATCCCCTTCAGATACACCCTGATGACCATGACCGTAGTTCTGATAATTCATTTTTCTTAACTTCATGTAGAGCATCATGTTTGGTTGGCACGAGTGATATATACCTTCATAATGATCACGGCATTCAGAAAACGCTGAACGTGCAACCAGATTTGACTAAGGGAAATCAGCAGCTTTAGCCAGAGAAACGAAGAACGGGAACGAAAGTTGGCAACCGCTTCAATGTTGGTTCTCCTTATGCATTCATGGCAAAACCATTTTTAGCGGCCTTCCTTTAACGAAATCAATGATTGGGTGTTGATCTTCATGTCATCAGCCAGGAATGCCTTATTTTAAAGGCAAAGTCCACAAAATGTATGTAGCGAGCATAGTGTGTAGTCTACTGTTTACCTGCCACAGAGTGGCACTCGTCGAAAGGAAGAAAGGAGAGTGATCCGACCGGGGCTCGAACCCAGAGCCTGCCAGTTCTCAATAAGACACAGAGTGCTGATCAAGCAATCTCTGTCTGAGCACCAGGCCAAAGTCATAAGGCAAATGGTAGAACGCAATATTAGTAAGTAAAACGCTGCTGTCACTAGGCGTGAAAAGTTGCAGACGTTGTCTTAACAAAGCACCTCTAGGTGATAAAATCCAGATATAAAATAGCGTCATATAATTAGGTTCCCAAAGGAATGGCTGTGGTTTCTTGCAAAAATGTACGGACAAAGACTTGCCATGATTAAAAATTTTCATCTGTTACGTATTCGCGAGCAGACTACAAACGGTCTGAACGGAGAAGGGTCAAAAACTCATGAAAATCTTGCTCCTTGCGTAGTACTTAATTGAGATAAGAGGAATCGTGAGGCAAGGCATACTCTATCTGTTAACCTAATTCAGTGGATTTTTCCCGTTTTGTTTATGATTTTCTAATGCCTCCGAAGCACCAGTATATGTTAAAGTAAAAAATCCGAAACAGTGTGAAGTGCAAGTTTAAAATCGTTTTCACCATAGAAAAAAGTAGACGATATTCGGTCAGCCAACAACTAAATACTATTGACAAGTACTCCTGTTAGTTTTCTTAAGCTACAATATTTGAAAGCAAAGTTCTATTACCTATTATCAATTGAATTAAGCAACAAAATAGAAACGAATGGTTTTTTGATTATTTAACTATATGCTGCAAAGCAACGACGTCTCGGCTGCATGAGAATCTCAAAGCCAGATCTACCTGATCAGGTCGACTGAATCTTGAAAAGTGCATAGTTTTCTGTGCATCTACTTTTCAAAAAATTTTAATATATACGAGAGTAAAAAAGTCAATGAATATCTAAAATTTTTCATTCTCCTTCTCCTTCATCAACAATACTTAGAAAAGAATGGTCAAAACTGACACTTTCTATAAAGGACTATACTAGAATTCTTAATCTCTCAACTTCGGGCGATGATTAAATTAAGTTTATAAAGTAGATGGCTAAAATAGCTGTATATTAATCTAGTTTCTACCTATTGTAATATGCAGAAAATAAAGGTGGCAAAAAATGAGTTGGAAACAGACGAACGACGTCAGTTAGGCCAAGGAGCATCCTTCTGTCCATATTTCACCGATGACAATACCTTCAGTGCTGACGATAAACTTTGCAATGGCGATTTCAAATCTTACATATGAATGAAATTAACAAAAAAGCATAACCAAAAAAGCAAGCAGTTGTCGTTTTGACCTTTTGTTCCATTCACACTACGATCAACAAATCTGTCACAAATTCAATAAATCTCCTGACATGTCTGGGCATCATCTACCTGGTTAGCAGAGCAAAATGGCCTCATATCCATCAGAGCATTTGTCATTTAAATTATCAAATGGAAAATATTCGGCGACAGTGCAAATAATCACTAAACAACGAATAATGCAACAAACGAAATGCCCAATCTCGTGGCGCATGTCTGAATAAGTAATAGGAGGAACATCGCAGATTTGCGACCTATCATCCAGAACAAAAAACGATTTACATCCACACTTTTTTGTGCCAGTTGTAACAGAAACGACTTTATCAATAAATTTTTTAAAAACTCTTCATTGCTCATAAAATTAGTATATTTCGAAAAGTAAATAGAGCTTTAGATAAAAAGTCATTTCTCACCGGTCCCATGATAGTCGCCTGCCAATGAAACACTAAAATCAGAGCAATAGAGAATTGCCACAACAAGAGACAATACGTACAGTCATCCCCAACGGGTCCAGCAGAGCATAATGCAGGTGGGTCGCGTCCGATGTCTTGCAGTTCCTAAGAGACGGAGAGCATGAAAAACGTTTAGTCACTGTCGTGCGAAACGTATGGCAGACAAAGAACGGAATAAAGCCGAGACGAATGTTTAACAAGCCCAGATTACGGCACAACGCACATATCATCTCGCCTTAAAGCCGCTTTCGACGTTTTACGCGAAAATCACCAAAAGTGCCTACCTTCTGTATCCTCTTTAGGGCCATTTTTTGGACTACTAACGATGATCGTCGGCGATGCCTACTACCTCAAAAGAAACAATTATGATTCGCAGAAGCGCACATCAGGTAGTGGGCGGAAAACAAGTTGCAGCGATCAGCACACAAGGAGTAACTATAGAATACGACCTAATAACATCAATGAATCAAAACGATAACAAGTAGCATCTTTACCAACACTGAACCTACTTGTTTCATCGACAGCTATTACAGTCAGCAAAATTATTGACGATAAGGAACATATGACCAACGGACCCTTTTATGCAAAATGGAAATAAGCAAGAACAATGAACGAATTCCTTCTTCATTGGCAGTCGCGCGTATAAGAACTCTTCATCAAAGTTAGAATATCTGGAATGAAATAGGTTAAGAAGCGAAACCGTTATCCACAAAGATTGTCATTCAGTGTGATATAAAATCATGATAGTCTCAGGATTGTCGTTGTTCAGGCAGTAAAATGTATTAAACTTATTGCTACAACTGTAAATAAATTGTGTGTCTTTCGAAAATGTTTCGCACAGAACAGCACACTGATGTGATCGTAACTTTCACTAATTGTTTAATGCACAAAATTGGTGTTTATTAATATGTTCAATTTATTATTCAAATCAACTGAAACGGTTAGAAGAATGTTTGTCATAGATCAATCTGATGCAACACCGGCCATGATCATACATCTGACGGTGGTGAAATACTGGAATAAGTGGCTAAAATCCTTGCAATATTCCGCATGTTTGGATGGCGAGCCGAATGAAAAAACGACTCGGAGTTGGAGTACAAAGCTGAGGTCGATACAATGAAACCACCGGTATTATCTTAAATATGTATTGAAAAAAAATAGTGTTTCGTACATAATGATCGAAAGAAGATTTCCGAAGTCACGAATATGATGTAATTCGCATCGTTTGCGCAGCTGTATAATTCATGCTTTAGAACATAACCTTTGGTAATTACTTTCTCAAACGCCTTATCCTAAGCATATACTTGCCGTTGTCTTATATGATACAACCGCATCCATCTATTTATTTGAGCGAGTAAAGATC